TTTTCGTAAGTATTTGTCGAAACAAATGTCAAAAGATTTGTCTCCAAATAAATTTATTTCAAACATAAAGTTTGCATTTTATTTAAAATCATTTGAAATGTTATTGAAAACTCGTGTCTCATCTAAACCCTAACATAAAGTGAAACATTGAATAGTAAAACGCCTTTAAGATCTACTTTGAAATATCAAAAACTGAATTAATTTTAATGATATTACAAATAATGAATTGATTCAAATCAAGAATGTATTGCTGTATTCACTGCACAGCTATTGTGCACAACACGTGTGCCGAACCCTTGGGGCAGAAGCTGTGCCCATATAGAGTGACCAGATGTGCATTACTTTTTCTCTAAGAACATAGTAATATTAAACTAGTGTGATTTGTGAAATTGTTTATAAAATTATTAATATTACTGTAAATTAGTTGTAAATCATCATTAAATCGAAAAATGCGAGACTAAATGGACAATTAGCAGAATAGCGGGCATTTTGGGGCGAGTGTTGGGAACATGTGGTGACGCTAGACGTGGAAAGTGATTGAATGCCATTGAAGTGAATGGTTTTGTTTGATTGGCTGTAAGAAAGCGATAGGACTTAAGGATCGCTTCAAGAAATGGCTTTTTGTGTGCTTTGGGTTTGAGATGTGTTTGACTCTCACTATTCATACACACAATAGACGTGAGAATGTATGCAAAGGTATGAGTCTTTCGATGAGACAATTGTTTACAACTTTAGCACTAATTGTGAACGAAATGTGAAGACTTTTAGCCGGCTTTTGGCTAACAATTATTATCTCATCAAATGGTGACCACAATTGTGACCACAATGGGTGCCACCAGTGATGACAACGATGGGTGTCATTGTCTGCGCCAGACATCCGTCGATTCTGCCAACGAGTGCCACAAACAAACACTTCATTACCGCCGAAGACATCAATTCAATCACAAATACATTTATTTATTATTCATTTTATTTATTCACTTCACTATCGCCTCAGGTATGGCTTAAGACATGTGTAATCTCTTTGTGACCACAATATTTGACCGCCAATTGTATTCCTCAGGAGTGACTCGTCCGACATATTTATTGTTTGCCAATCGGAAAGACATCCGTTTAGTCAATTCAGACAATCAAAGACCCAACGCATCGATTATTATGAACCACTTGGAAGAGGCGGCGGCTCTCG